GCACAAGGGTTCCCATTTCTCCCTGTTCTTGCCAACACTTGTTATCTTCTGTGTGTGTATGTGTGTTCTAATAGCCATCCTAGTATAGTAGCTGTGAGGTAATATCTCAGTGTGGTTTGCATTTCTCTAATTACTCATAATGTTGAGCATCTTTCCATGTGCTTTTTGGCCATCTATAGATCTTCTTTGGAGAAATGTCTATTCAAGTCTTTGCCCTTTTAAACTTGGGTTGCTTTGTTGTTGTTGTTGAGATTTAGGAGTGCTTTATATATCCTGGATATTAATTCCTTATTAGATACATTATTTGCAAATATTTTCTCCCATCCTGTGGGTTGGATTTTGCTTTCCTGATAGTATCCCTTAATGCACAAAAGTTCTTCCTTTTGATGAAGTCCAATTTATCTATGTTTTCTTTTATTGGCTGTGCTGTTGGTCATACCCATGAAACTGGCACCAAATCCAATGTCATGCAGATTTTCTCCAATACGTTCTTCCTGAGAATTTAATAGTTTTGGCTCTTAAATTTAGGCTTTGATCTATTTTGAGTTCATTTTTATACATTGTGTATGGTAAGTATACAACTTCATTTTTTTTGCATATAAATATCCAGTTTTCTCATTACTGTTTATTGATAAAACTGTCCTTTCCCCTTCGAATAGTTTTGGCATCCTTGTAGAAAATCAATTGGTCATATATGTGAGGGTTTGTTTTTAGGCTCTCTATTCTATTCTATTGGCTGTCTTTATGCCAGTACCATACTGTTTTAATTACTGCAGCTTTGTAGTAGGTTTCAAAGTTGGGAAGTGTAAGTCTTCCCATTTTATTAATCCTTTTCAAGATTGTTTTGAGACCCTTGAAATCCTGGATGTGTTTGAAGATTGGCTTTTCTATTTCTGTGAAAAAGACTGTTAGAATTTTGATAGGGATTGCATTGAATCTGTAGGTTGCTTTGGGTACTATTGGCATCTTAACATTAAGTCTTCCTATCCATGAACACTGAGTGTCTTTCCATTTATCTAGGTCTTTAATTTCTTCAAGCAATGTTGTGTCGTTTTCAGTGTACAAGTCTCTTACCTCCTTGGTTAGATTTATTCCTATGTATTCAATTCTTTTAGCTGCTCTATAAATGGAATTGCCATCTTAACTTCCTTTTCAGGCTGTTTACTGCTTATGTATAGAAACACAATTGATAATGTATCATTTTTTGTGAAGGAGGAAATAGGGGCTTAGAATAAGTTGTTCAAAAATGTCCTTGGCTAGTAAGGTCCAACTCAGGTCTCTAACTCCATATCTGTTGTGCTGCCTCTCTGAGGAGGTAGCTTACCTAGCCCCTTTCCCAGATTGTCCTTTCTCTCTGACTTGACCCCTAGTTACAAAATAAGAAACACTAGAAGGAGAAGAAAATGGAGCGCTGCAAAATTACGCCCTAAATTCTGGCCGGTGTGACAATTGAACCATAAGAAGGCAACCAAGTTCTCAAAGATACCATCGATATTCCATAGACAGCTTCAGGTTCATTCTTTGTAGTGGAGGGCACAGAGGCAAATGACAAAGAGTCAACGTTGAACGTGTAACTTTAAAATGCCAAAATATTTGGTGAGCATAACTCAGAAATCAAGAAGCTACTTGTAGCAAATCAAATACCGTAATGCATTTTCAACACAGGGCAGTTTCTCATGGCCCTGACAGAAGGACTGTGTCACGGCATGTAGATGGGGTTCCGACTCTTGAGGAACTGAGGGTGGGGGAGACTCAGGCTCAGGAGAGATACACTCTGCAGCCCTGCCACCAGGTTGGAGACCAGAAGTGTGTCAAGTAACCCTGAAGAGCCTCTAACGGAGATGGCAGGTCTTGGTATGCTAACAAGAGGGGATGGATGAGTTTGTCCAAGACCCTGGATGCCATTCAGGAACCACTAGGGTCTCTTCCCCAGTCCCCACTGAGCACTTGTCTTCCTCTCCCAAACCCGCTGTCTGACTCCACTTTCTGCTGTTTCTGCACGAGAGCACCGGCACTTTAAATGTGGAGCCGTGACTATTGTTGCAGCTGCCACTGTTGGGAACCTGGCCCAGTAGCTGTGCGCAGTGCTGTGAGAATTGTCTCAGTCTGCTTTCCTGCTGCCCTTTGCCTAGGCCAGCAAGATATCCAGAAAGGAATGCGGAAGCCTGGTAAACAGAAGTATACTTCTATGTGTACTTCTGTTATGCATACATACACACATGTGCACACACACACACACACACACACACACACACACACACACAGAGAGTTGAGGAATTAGAATATCTTCTCTCTCCTCCCGAAGGGAAGAACATTCTGGCCAGAAGAGAACTCCTTAGGATCTTCTCCATTTACCTTCTTCTATCTCCAGTGTAAAAGTAACTATATTGCAGTGATGTATTCTTCCTCACACCTGCCAAGAAACACCAGACGAGGAATGGTAGCGTCTTCGCACTTAATGAATTACTAACATTTTTAGATAGAGAGGTAAGGAGTTGCCCGAGCATGTCCATAGGCTCCTTCTAATACGTGGAATATCGCACAGAGCTTCAAAACGGCCGCACTAACAGCCAGTTAAAAAATAAGTGGAGAAAGTTCACAAAGCAAAAAGTCAACATGGTATCATGTGAATTTCTCTGTGGCTCAGACTTTGGACAGGTTATAGCAGCATTTCATTTATATCACAGAAGAATTCATCAAGGAGGTAACAATGTTTAAGTGACTTTCCAGCGGGAATCTTATGCTCTAATGACACAGTCTATTCCCACTTCTTCCATAAATCACTAGCGACTTCCCTTAGAATGGTCGCTTGCCTCCAGCATCTTGCCCTTCATACAATCCTCACATTGCCTGATTAATGTTCTTAAGCATATCACTCCTCCGATCAAAAATCTGCACTGTTTCCTTGTTGCCAATAGAATTAAACCTTAATGCCTCCATGTGGCATTTGAGTCTTCTTACCAATCATTTCCCCTCCTTATCCTCTACCACGTCCTGATTGCCAGGCCAGTCGTGCTCTGGGGTATAGTTACAGTTTCCTCCATGCGTAACGCCAGCTCTGCTCCTCTCTACTTTCCTAACTCCTCCTTTTCATGCTTCAGGGCTGGCTTCAAATCCCACTTCCTCCCCTTCTACCCACACCAACCTCTCCCTGCTATAAATTCCTATTGCACGCTCATTGTATGCCTCACTTTGGCAGTTTACTTGTTAAGTGATTAATATGCCTGTCTGGATGCCTTGTGACTACAGAAAACAGAATAAGGTCCCTGCCCTGGTGGAGAAGGCTTTGCTACTTTATCATGATATATTACTATCTCCTGAGGGCAAGACTCTCTCCACAGTGAAATGCAAGTTCTCAAGTTCTGCAAGGATACCATGCTTATTATGGTGCTATCTATGTACATCTAGGATTTCAGAAAGATTTGCTAAATTGAATTAAATCCTCTTTCGGTATCTCTGTCTCTGGGGCTTGCCTACAAATAGAGGCTGTTGCTGAAGTGCACTAGCTAATTTGCTCTTAAACGGCCAAACCTAACAAAACTAGTCTACATCAGCTATGCTGAAGGGGTTAGGGTAGGGGTGAGGAAGGAGAAACCATCCTAGCGTGTTGCAACGTGGGAAAGTTGCTCAGTGTAAGTCCGCTCTCCTGGCTGGACCCCTGGCTATAGGTGTCAATTGTCGCACGGTGACTCAAAGCACCACAAGTAAAGGAGTGAGGAAAGGCAAAACGAGCAGAACAGGGAAAGGGAGCAGCAGAAACTTCCTCAGCCAGCATATGAGCAACAAGGGCCATCAAAATGGGATGGCTTCCTTCGACCATAACCAAAGACATGCCAGGGTCAATCGTTGGAAACCACAGTTCACACTTCACACATTTGTAGCAATAAAGGCTGATGTTGGCACGTCTGGTTTCCAGACACCTGCTCTCACAGGTAACAGCAGCGGGGCAGCTGCCCTGAGTGACTCTGAGTTCCTCTCTCCCACAGGTCCCGAGTTGGAAGGATTGAGTAAGTGAGTCCCCCAAACCCTGGTTCTCATCCATGGGGCCCCGGGACAAGTTGAAAGATCTAACCGAAACCAGAAAAAACTGGCGGGGTTGGGGGACTGGGCAAGGATGTAGAAGAGTCTTCCGCTGACTTCAGACACCACCCCACCCCACCCCACCCCCACCCCGTCCGTGTCTCCCACTGTAAACCAGAAGAGTCTATCTATTCCCCGCAGACTGCCAAGTCGAAAGATCCTCAGGCCGATCAGGTGCCCGCTGAGTCTGGTTGCGGCTCCCAGCCACGATTTCCTCGCATCTCTTGCGCCAGGGCGGCGAACAGGGTCCCCAGAGCCCCCAGGTCCTGGCCCCTCCGGGCGCCCGGGACACTGAAGCTAGCGCTCCTCCTCTCTCGCATCCCCTCCCCTCCTCTTCCCTCCCTCTGCCAGTCCCTCCCCAAGCCGTGGCGGAGGTGGGGCCGGGCTTGGCTCCGCGAGGCCCGTGCATTCCAGAGAGCCGAGCGAGCTAGAGCAACAAAGGAGCCGGGGAGTCGGTGGGGAGAAGTCGGGGGTCTGCGGCGCGCTCGGGCGAAGGTGGCGGCTGGGCCGCGGGGCTGGCGCAGAGGCGAAGCCGGGGAGCTATCCCCCACCGCCTGCCCGCGCCTGGCCTCCATCGCGGGGCTGGAAGATAGTTTTAAGAGGGAATGGGGCTGGAGATTGGGGGCCCAGGGGGCTCCCGGGGCTGAAGACAACTTGGATTGCCCGGAGAAAGAGTAGGGAGTTGTGCATCCCGGCCGGGGCCTCCGCCGCCCAACATGGGCCCCGGGTTCCAAAGTTTGCGAAGTTGGGCGCCGAGGGCCCGCGGCTCGCGGAGCGTGCGAGGGGGCCCGGCACCGGATTCGCCGGGCGCACAGGTCGCCTGAGCCACATCCGCGGCCCCAAGGGTTGCGTGTGTGGCCGGGGGGCTCCGGGGAGCGGGCGGGGGCGCCGGGGCTTCTGCTGAGTTGGCGGGTTTGGCCATGGCCGCTGCCCGCCTCGCACTGGGGCCAGGGATCCTGCTCCTGGGGCTGCTGCTGCTGCTGCTGCTGCTGGGGGGCCCAGGCCGGGGGGCGGCCTTGAGCGGGAACGCGACTGGGCCTGGGCCGCGGAGCGCGGGCGGGAGCGCGAGAAGGAGCGCGGCCGTGACCGGCCCTCCGCCGCTGCTGAGCCACTGCGGCCGGGCAGCCTCCTGCGAGCCGCTACGCTACAACGTGTGCCTGGGCTCGGCGCTGCCCTACGGGGCCACCTCCACTCTGCTGGCCGGGGACTCGGACTCCCAGGAAGAAGCGCACGGCAAGCTCGTGCTCTGGTCGGGTAAGCGCGCGGAAGCCGGAGCCGGGGTTGCGGTGGTGGGATGCGGGACTCTGGGCAAGAATAGGCTCAGGCCTGAACGTTGGCGAGGGCAAGGGCTGCACCCGGGAGAGGTGGAGGAACACAGTCGGAAACTGTGGGTGCCGGCTGTAAGCACGTTGGGACCCTCGGTGATGAGGCGAGACGGTTGAGGGAGCCGGTCACAAAAGGCCTGAGCAGGGTGGGTGCGCAAAGGATGCGGGGGAATGAGGGGCCCATGAGGCAGGGGCTCTGAGCCTCGGGAAAGGATGTTTCTTAAGAAGTGGAGCTGCTCCTCGTAAGCGCTGCTCTGAGAGCGGAGCCCCTGAGGATTCAAGGAGGTGTTTAGATCTTGGAAGAGAAACCGGGAAGTGGAGTTGAAGAGGAAAGATGGGCTAGAAGGTTTAGGCATTGAGGGACAGGATGGGGGGGGGGGGAAGAGTTGAGTGAAATTTGAGATGGATAAGAAACCCCCTGGTGTTGAGTAATTAAAAGTTAACCAGAAATTTCCAGAAATCTTGTTTGGGGAGACAGGAAGTCCAGAAAACGGTGATCTTGTCTTGCTATTACAGATTTCACCCTTTCCTCGTCTGAAAAATGGGGACTCTGATCCTTTTCTGAGGTCGTGAAGCAATGAGACTATTCTAAGGATTATTTGTGTATTCTTTGGAAATTTGGATCCTCAGGCTGGTCAGGGCTGCAGAAGGACACTTAAGCCCGGGATATTGAGAGCCTGTGGATACTTCCATAGTGGCCTGAAGTCCCAAAGCCCTCAACCTTAGGTTAGGATTATGGCCAGGCCTAAAAAACCCAAATAAATCCTTCCTTAGCAGTGTGGAGTGGATGATCTCCCCACTTGTCACTCTTCTGGGTTAGGGCCCTGAAGGGGGGTTGGGGAAGGGAACTGGTTTTGTCAGCCCTTGCTTCTAGTCAGTGTGATTTCAAAGCTGTCCATGAAAAAGAAAATCAAAAGTCAGGAGCCAACTTGGCAAGCTCCTTCTAATGTGGCAGGCCTTGGGTGCCCTACATCTCGGTTCCACCCTGGGGGCTGGTGATGATCCTGAAGCGGGGAGCCGAGATATAGGCTGCCTGTCATTGTCAACTTGGCCACTAGAGTTCTGAGTCTTTGCTGAATGTTGGACAAAGCCCTATCATTCCTGGCCTGGTATCATTCTGGCAGATGGCAGAGGAACGTGGAAGATGGTACCCTTGGTGGACCTACATCCTTAGTGGGTATCGGGTTCTAAAGGCAGCATGTAGGCAGAAACCATGTGGAATCAACAGCAGCTTTGAAAAGTTCATAAGCTACCATAACCTAAGGTGTAGGTAATTTTTGCATATATATTCTTTTTATGGTAATATGTTTGTATAAATGTGTAACACATAGTATAGTGTTTAAGAAGGGTAATACGTAGAAACTATAATTTTAGTCCTTAAAGTTACATAAATGCAAAAGAGCAGAAGACTGAAAGAATTAAAAAAAGGAACACAAAGGAAAGGTGGAAACAGATTTCTCTGAGAAGGTTTGTGTTTAGGAGCCAGTCGTGTGGAAAATACAAATCTCAGCACGAGAATCTCACCCAGTTCTAAGTTGCTCACACTGAGAGGATATCCCCCCGCCCCTCCTCTCTCTACTTAGTTATTTTGCAGGGGCCCATGGTTGAATTCTCCTAAGTTAAAAGCATGTGTGATGCTGCCCTTCTGTAGTTACCATCAAATCAAGGAGGAAGGGTCTGGACCTCTTTCCAGTCCGTATTCCTGATAGCAGCCGCTGAGCAAGGCAGAAGTGTTTTAGCAGGGAAGTTTAGGAGTTAGAACCATCTGCTGGCTGTGTGGTTTTGATCCTTACTAGCTGTGCCTCCGGTGGAGTAGGGTCCTGTAGAGGTGCCAGCCTGGGGCTCAGGTTTTTAGTTCATTCGGAATTTTTTCTCTGCTGCCATCATCCCTCAGCTCAGTTACGTTCCCAAGTGTATTCTAGCTGTTCTTTCTGCTTTGGGTCTTTCTGCTAGATGTTCTGGGCGGTGGGGTCGGTGGCGGGTGGAGTAGATCGGAGCCAAGTGTAAGAATCACAGACAGGCCTTTAGCCGGGAGCCTCTAGTGAGTGACTTTTCCCGTCCCGAGTTAGTGGTCTTGATTTGACCATGTCTAGGTGGTCAGTGTCACCTGGCTCTTGGAGGTATTTTTGTGGGTAAAGGATGAAAATGATCTAGGTTGTCTTCATCTGTGACCTCTTGAAGGTAGAGACTTGTTCTTCGCTTTTTTTTTTTTTAAAGCCTCGGAGTTCTGAGTACACAGCCATCCACTCATTCATTAAATTAGGCATTGGGTGCTTGCTGCGTGTCAGCCTGGATCAGGTTCTGGGGCACGTAAAGACGAGGAATACAGACGTGATTCCTGCCATCAAGGGGAAGACACACAAACAGCTTTAGCATTTCCTAAATGCTAAAACAGGGTAGGGTGCTGAAGGAACACAAAGGGCAAGGGAAGACCCCCCAGAAGAATTGACATTTAACCTATGATCTGAGAAACAAGTAGGAATTCTTTGGGCCAAGGAAAGGTAGGATAGGAAGGAATAGGAAGAGGAGACGGCATGCAAAGGTGAGGTGAGAGGGCTTACTACTTTAGGAGTATACGATTTTAGTAGAGCTGGATCAAAGTAGGTGAGGGATAGAATTATAAGAGATAAGACCTAGGCAGTTAGAAAATAAAGGGATTCATACCCCATATTAAGAAGTTTGGATGTTATCCAGAAGATAATAAGGAGCCACTAAAAGCTTTTGAGCAAGGGAGAGATGTAATCACCGTTGCATTTTAGAAAGATCTCTTTGAGTATTGTGTGAAGAAGCCACGGGAGGAGGGGAGGCATGGAGCCTGGTTGCTTGTTTAGGGGATGGTATTCCGGGTAAGAGATGGTGGTGGCCATGATGGAGGTGGAGATCCAGGTGAGAGAGGATGGGGCAGCAGGCTTGAGGAAGTGGACAGATCCCAGAATTTTAGAGCTAGAACCCATGGGATTGCTGATGAGTTAGGTGGAAGGCAAGAGTGAGCAGGAGGATGTAGGTTTTTCAGGCTCGCGGGGAAAGTGATATCGTTCTCTTCCACTAAGCTGGGAATGCTGGAGGAGGAGTAGGCTTAGGAAGAAAGCCTGGGTTCAGTTCGGCCATGTGAATTAGAGGTGCTCAGTGGACGTGTATGTGGAGATTACCAGCAGATCTGGAATAGGAGTTGCTGAAGAGAGCGGCCACTGTGTTATTCCTCGGCCCAGACTGCTGAGCCTTTTGGAAGTATGCCATTGAGTGAGGAAGTGTATAGCCCAGGCTGGACTACTTTCTGGATCTGTAAAGAGCTCAGGTCCCTCCTGTATCTTTCAACCCTTTGGACTTGGGCTCGTTCAGGCACTCAGCATCTTTCCCCATTACAGCTTGAAATGTCTCTTCTCAGGCATTCCAAGCTGACCAGACAAATATAATATCCAGGCCACAGTCCACCTTGGGCCAAATCTGGTTTGGTAAATGGGGCAAGAAAGCAGAGACCTGTGGCTGCGGAGGGAAATAGGCCCCTGACAGCCAGCACGTAGCCTCCTTGACCACCGCTGTGCTCTGTGTGTGCACAGGGGTGTGTGGCCTTGTCATTCAGCCGGGGGCAGCCAGGAGAAAAGAGCCAGAGAATTCTGGGAGGAATCTCTCTTTTCCTCTCAAGACAATCTGGTTGAGCGATGAGAGGAGGGATGTTGTTGGTGACGCTGGGTTGTTTGCAGGGGCAGACCGGAAAGAATTTCCTTAGAGCTTTTCCCAAACCTGGCTGGTGATCAGAATCAGTTAAGATATGTACATTTGGAAAGGATGAAAATACAGGAAAGCACCTACTGGCTCGAGTTTTACTTTTCCTTTAGATTTTTAATATTTATTTATTTATTTATTTATTTATTTATTTGTTTGTTTGTTTATTTATTTATTTATTTATAAAGATTTTCTTTTTCTTTTTTTGTTTAAAGTTTATTTTTGAGAGAGAGAGAGAGAGAGAGAGGGAGAGGGACAGAGAGAGAGGAGACAGAGAATCTGCTGTCAGTGCAGAGCCCGATGTGGGGCTGGAACTTACGATGCTCGAGATCATGACCCAAGCTGAAGTCAAGAGTCAGACGCTCAACTGACTGAGCCGCCCAGGTGCCTCAATAAAGATTGTATTTTTTAAGTAATCTCTACAACCAAGGTGGGACTTGAACCCATAACCTTGAGATCAAGAGTTGTACACTTCACCGACTGAGCCAGCCAAGGGCCACGAGATTTTTAACTTTTCAACTGTGAAATGCTGCATGTATGCAGAAGGTGCATAAAACACAGGGGCACTTAATATCAAATAATTATAAAGTGACACCTGAGTCAAGAACCAGATCATGGTGGGGCCCCCCCAAAAGCTCCCCTTTGTCCCTCTCTTTTCTTCTAGAAGTAACCACTACCCTAATGTTTTGGATTATCATTTCCTTTTCCCTCTATAGTTTTGTCACCTAGTTTTGGAATCCTTAAACAGTATCTTTTAGTTTTGAGTGTTTTTGAACTTTAGACACATCGTGATATGTGTATTCTTCTGTCTTTTGTCTTGCTTCTTTTGCTATACCTTGTTTTGTAAGATTCATCCATGTTAGTGCAGGTCGTTTTTTTTCTTTGCCGAATAGCGTTCCATTGTAGAATACATCACAATTTATTAATCCATCTTATTATTGTTAAACATTTAAGTTGTCTCCGGTTTTTGGCCACTGTGAACAACATGGCGGTGAGTATTCTTCTAAGTATATTCCGGTTCACCCGCCTCAAGTTTCCCTAGGTACATACTCAGAGGAATGGAATAACTAGATAATTGCATACCTTCAACTTTACTAGGTAATATGGAACAGTTTTCCAAAGTGCTTCCACCAATGTGGTCCCCACTAATCGTGTAGAAGAGTCACCAGTGCCCACATGATTCCTGATGCTTGGTATTGTCACCAT